CCCCCCCCCCCCCCCCCCCCCCCCGGCCCCAACACCTGGGAAAGGTCCTGGCAAGGCTACCAGGCTCGGGGCCATTGGGGCCTCTGGCTCCCCCTGCTGGATCTGGTGGGCAGCAGCAGCACAAACTGGGTCCCCAAAGGAAACGGGGGGGGGGGGGGGGCAGAGAAGCCCCTTCGCAAAGGGGGCCAACGTTTGGCCCGCGCCAGTCCTGAGCAGAGCGCCCCCAGGCCGGACGGCCCACTTCCTGCCCAGGAGGGCAGCTGGATTGGCCAGAGGGGAGAAGACCCAGGTGGGAAGGGGGGGGGGGACAGAAGGGGAGGGGCCCCCACCAGCCCCCCCTCCCCGTGCCCCCTCACCTTGACCTGCAGGCTGTCCCGCTGCTGCTGCTGGGCTGCCAGGGCGGCCTGGGAGCGGCTGAGGAGCTCCTGCCGGGCCTCCAGCTGGGCTCGGAGGGCGGCGTTCCTCTCCTTGAGGAGGGCGGCCATCCTCTCGCAGGGGGGGCCCTCGGCCTCCTGGGGGGGGCACCCCAAGACGTCCCTCTGGAGCGCCAGCACCCGCCTGGCTTCCAGGCCCTGCCAAGAGTCAGCAGCCCCTTTGCAACCCGCCGGCCTTGGCAGGGCGGCCCCCTCAGAGCCCCCCCCCCTGGGGGGGGCCCCCCCGCCCCCCCCATCCCAGAGCCCCCCCCCGCCCCCAGGCGGTCAGGGCTGCCCAGGTGGGACCACGGAGGAAGCGAAGAGGCAGAAACGCCACCTGGGAGGCTGCTCCCCCTTTTAAAAGACTCTTCCCGTTGGAGGCGTTGGCTTCTTTCTGTTCAAAATTCTGTTAAAACTTGGGTGGAAACGATGCTGGTTAAAAAGTAGCCAAGAAGGCTCACTCCACTTCCAGGCTGGAGGATCCCAGAGTTGGAAGGGACCCTGGAGGTCCTCTAGCCCAGCCCCCTAATCGAGCAGGAGGCCCTACTAGACCGTCCCAAAGAGGGGGGGCTGTCCGCTCTCGTCCTAAAAGCCTCCAGGGATGGAAGCAGGCCGCTCAGGTGTGTGTAGGTGGGGGTGTCAGCCGCTCGCCCCCATCCCTCCCTCCCTCCCTCCCTCCCTCCCCCTGCACACCTGGGCCAGCTGGGTGCATCCCTGCCGCTGGGCTCCCGGGCTGGGGAGGGGCTTCCGGTGGGACAGGAGGACGTTCTCCAGGGAGGTGAGGGCCTTGTGGACGTCCAGGAACAGGTCGGCCTTCCCTGGGGGGGCAAAGGGGCCGGGCCAGGCCAGTCAGCTCCAGAGGGGGAGCCCCGGAGGCCGAAAGGGGGGGGGGGGGCCGGGGGGGGGGGGCTGGGGGGCCCCCCTGGGGGTTTCTCCCCCCCGGGAAGGACACGCCCGGGAAAAGGGAGGGAGGGGACCAATCGGGGGTGGGGGGTGGGGGTGGACTAGAAGGCCTCCAGGGCCCCTTCCAACCCTCTTGCCCCAGGGTCCCTCCAAAGGAGCAGCAGGGGGCGTTGGGCTCTCCAAGGGCCCAGCCGGCCAGACCGGTGTGACCCGAAGGCCGGGGGCTCCTCCCGAAAAGAGTCCGGCCAGCAGGCTCCCAATTCGAGATCTCCCACCCGGGCAACCCGAGCCCCCTCTTGGGCGGGTCTTACCTTCTCCTGGAGCGGCTGGAGGCCGGGCAGGGGGGATCCTGGGGCGCTTGGCCAAGAGGGACGGGCATCGGGGGAGGCTGGCAGTGGCCTCGGAGTCCAAATCGGAGAAGAAGATCCCATCCCCCTCCCCCTCCTCCTCTTCCTCCTCCCTGCAGTGAGATGGAGGCGGTGCCAGGGGGAAGGAGCCGGGGAGGGCACAGCTGGGGCGGAGAGGGGGCCTGGGAAAGGAGGGGCCACCTGGAGGGCCTGGACCCCTCATCTCCCTCCTTGGAGAGCCCCCCTCTAAGCAGGGGGTCAGACTAGAAGACCTCCAGGGCCCTTTCAACTCTGTTATTCTATTCTGTTCAGCCCTGGCATCTCCGGGTGGTCTCCTGTCCCAGGTTCAAGGCCTACAGGAAGCAGCCCTGCACCCCACTCTACCCGGAAATTGCACGCAGACAATCCTCAACTTACGACCTTCTATTTAGTGACTGTCTGAATTATATCAGTGCTGAAAAAGTGACCGGTGGTTGGTTTTCCCCCCTAGTCGTGTGATCAGAGGAGGGGTGCTTGGCGACCGGCATGCACTGGGGACGTCCTGGGGGGGGGTCACCTGATCCCCACTGGGCACCAGCCTCCGGCAAGGAAGGTCATGGGGGGGGGGAAGCCAGATCCATTTAATGACCAAACAATTCACTTAACAACCATGGCAAGAAAGGTCTAAAATGGGGGCCGAACGCACTGAATAACTATCTCGCTTAGCGACAGGGATCTTGGGCTCCGTTGCAAGTCGAGGACTGCTGGCATTGGGGTAAAGAAAGCGACGGAGCTGCAGGAGGGCAGACATCCTCCACAGCACACCCCAAAAACCTACTTTTTCCTGCTGGGTCCCCAGTTCCCGGGTGAGAGGGAGGAGGGAGGCCAGGGAAGGGGGCCTGGAAAGTGGGGGGGCACAGGGGGAGGGGCGTACCTGGCCCTGTCCTGCTGCAGCCGCTCCACCTTCCCCTGCAGCCGGACGATGGTCACCAGCAGGGCGGAGATGCGCTCCTCGTAGTGCAGGGCGGCCTCCTCGCAGGGCTCCTCCTGGCTGCGGGGGCCAAGCTCCCCCTGCGGCCCATAAGAGAAGGGGGGGCATCAGCCTCCCCCCGAGATCCGGAGGGCCCCCAGCCCACCCATCCCCAAGGCACCAGGGCGGGAGGAGGAGGGCGGGACGGAGGTATATTTTATTTTATTGTATCGTATTGTATTCTATTCTAATTTCTTTCCTTTTCTATTCTATTCTAAATTCTATTCTATTTTTTCTTTTCAATTCTATTCCATTCCATTCCACTCCACCCTCCATCATTCTCCTCTCCTACTCTCCATCCTTCTATTCTATTCTTTCTATTCTATTCTATTTTCTATTCTATTGTATTCATTTTCCATTCTATTCTATTCCATTCCATTCCATTCTATTCTATTTTCTATTCTATTGTATTCATTTTCCATCCTATTCTATTCTATTCTATTCTATTCTATTCTATTCTATTCTATTCTATTCTATTCTATTCTAATTTCTTTTCTATTCCTATTCCTATTCCTATTCTACATTGTGGGCTTTGCTGTTAATTGCTCCGAGCTCCCAGAAAAGGGACATTTATATAAAAGTTCCAAATAAATGAACAAAATGCATTTGGCGAAGCGCACACTCCCCAAACCGGTTGTTACACCGATTGAATCCCTCCACTGGATATTTCTCTCTCTGGACACTCTAAGATTATGTATCTGCTGAACTAAACTCCGCACTGGCAACAGGAGAGGCATCTGGCCAGCAAACACTCAGCTCACTCCATCCAGTTGCCCAGACTCCACTCCGCCAGGGATGACGGGGTCGTTCAAAGAAGGAGGAAACTGAGGGATGCTGGATTGGACAGTCTAATCTCCAGCCTTCCTCTCCTTTGGCCCCCTCCCTCTCCCCGCAAGCCACCTCGGGGACCCGGAAAGGCCCCGGAAGGGAGGCCGAAGGGCCACTGTGCCAGAGCTTGGCCCTGGAGGGTGGCATCCGCTTTGGCCAAGGGCTGCAGACCCACCTTGGACGGGGCAGGAAGCCCGGAGATGCTTCCCCCAATTAAACATCGGAAGCCAGGAATGTGTGTGTGTGTGTGTGTGTGTGTGTGTTCCTGTGCTTTCCCCGGGAACAATGGCTTGTTTGTCCCTCCAGAAAAGCCGCCATTCCTGGCTTCCAGGCCAAGGTGGCCATTCCCGGGGCTGGGACGCCAGGTGCAGCCTCTGTCCAGCTGACCCTTTGCGAGCTCAGGGCAGCTTTGCCAGGCAAGGGAGCCGGGAGCTGGAAGGCCCTCTTGATTGCTACGTTTCGGGTTGATTGCCAGGGTCCCGCAGAGATCAACTAGACCACCCCAGCTGCCTCCAAAGCCGGACGCTGGAGCGCTTCATGTGACAAAGGGCTGCTTAACGGATGTTGCTGGTGTTCCTGATGGGGACTCAGAAACCCCCAAATTGGACCAGAGATTTCCCCCAATGGGACCCCCAGGCACCCTCCAAGGTCCCACCTACCTCTTCCATCCTGCCTCTTTCTGCCTTCTCCCCCTGGAGCAAGCCAGTCCCGGGCTTGGTCCCGGCCCCGATGGGTGGGGGCAGGCTCTTCCTGTTGATTTGCAGCCTTCCCAAGCTCCCCCCCCCACGTTTCCTGCCCTCCCTGGGAGGAAGGGGACGGGCCCGGTGGAGCCTCCTCGCCGCGCCTTTATTCCTGGCCCAACAAACCCACCGTGTGTTTAGAACTGCGCCACAAACCGGGACAGAAAGTAACTGGGTTTTGTTTAAAAATGAAGGCTTCTGTGGTTCCTTAAAATCTGTGCTGGGGCCCTGGGGAGAGGCGGGAGGAGGGTCTCGCACGGGGGATGAATATTCTTTATGGCACATCCGTAGGGTGGCCTTTCTCAGCCCGTGCAGCTGGGGGATGGCTGGGGGATCCTGGGAGCTGAAGTCCACACAGCGTCAGGCTACCCAAGTTGAGAAGCGTTTTGATTCCTGGAAACCCCTGCAGCAGGTTTAAAATAGGAGGAATTCTCAGCAAGCAGAGCGTCTGCGTCATTGTGTGTCCCTGGCAACTTCTGGTGGCGTTTAATCGTTGCGTTAATTGAATGCAATGAAAAGAAAAAGGAATATTCAGGGAAAGAGAGAGAGAGAGAGAGAGAGAGAGAGAGAGAGAGAAAAGAAGAAAAGGAAGGTAAGGAGGAAGAAAGAGAAAAGGAGGAAAAAGAAAGGAATGAAGGAAAAAGAAAGAAAAAGAAAGGAAGGAAAAAGAAAGGAAAAAGAAAAAGGAAGAAAAAGAGGAAAGAAGGAAGAGAAAGA